GTTTGTGTGTGTATATGTGTGTGTGTGTGTGTGCGTGTGTGTGGGTGGGTGTGTTTGTGTGTGTGTGTTTGTATATATATATATATGCGTATGCAACCTATGTATGTGTGAATATAGACACATATTTTCACGTCAACTTCCAATAACTTTATCTAAATACGCTAACATACCCAAATAGAACACTCGAATGTTTGCGGATTTTCAATAAAGGCCACGGCCAGCCACAGCGCCGCCATGATACGCCGTAGGTATTGTCGCGAGTAGGAAAAGTACGTCCGGGCGTTCCTACAAAGTAACCGTATGCTTCGATATTAAATATTTTAATATGAAAGTATGCAACTACAGGTGCGACCACTGGGAGGGATACTGGAATGTGTTATTTAAAGAAATGAATACTTCTGACTAATATGAAAGTAATTAGGAAATACGGCGGGTAATAACTCTCCATAGACACATCATATGTACATGTGCAATTGTAATAAAATGGTCGAGTCTTGGCCAGAAAGCATGCTCACAGACGCAGTATACACTACACTGTACGATAACCAAACCGTAGGGAGGCGGGGTCTGTCTTGGCTGGCGGTGGTCGCCCGTCCAATGCGCTTTCAATGAGAACGATAGCATGCAGAAACAGCTGCAAGTGCATAAGATGAATATAAAACAGTATAAATGAACTGTAGCCCGTCCCACATTGTCAGTTCGTACTAAGGCAAACCCCATGGTGCGTAAGCGAAACAAGTGTATACCATCCTGTCTGTTTGGGGAGATTCTTCTTATATGCAAAGGCTCGCCTGGGCAATCACATGCCTATTCAAGCACGCAGTGGCCCACATGGCAGCCATCGCTTACAATAATCATACTAAGGTCGCAGCAGGGTATGTGAAAGTAGGATCAGGTACTTACGTGTGGCACTGCCAGAATGGGTATGTATTTTAATGTGCACATGGCTCGCACAAGAAACGGTACGATTGTTCGTGGTGTTGTATGCATGTGTGATGAAGCAACGAGTCAAACTACAAATATACGACTTCTCTGTATATAGTCACTCTCGATGTACAAGCTTCAATCCACAGCAGCACCAATCTGACCCACCAATCAGATCTGCTCCCATATACCACGCTTGAACGAGTTTCAATTCTCAATTGAAGGCTTGGTGGGAATAATAACGGCACTGTATGGGTGGTATAGCAGCTTTGCGCTACAACGTCACTCCATGCAGTCGACAGAGCACCCCAAAGTTACACACTCTTCCATATTGTACAGACAATCCCAAACGCCTCCTCTGGGCCTTCGTATGTCGAGGGAGGGTCTCAGCTATGAATCAGTATCAATCATTACATTTCAGTTCTCACATGCAAACTATGTTGTGACGCGTTATTTCATGGTAGTCTAAGTCCTGGATACTACCGATGAGATATATGTAAGCCATTCACAAACAGCGTGCATGTACCATTCCATCTCACTAATTCACTGTCGCTATCGATTCCTTTGTATCTATTGACATAAACTCCATATAGAACATGAGCATATGATGTATTTGGAACGATTTTCTCATAGCTAGCCACCAATCAGGCTGTTCTGGTTAGCTTCAACTATCACTGAAATATACCACACATAAGAGATTTTCGGATCATCGGTAAATGAGTCCTTGTTTTCTCGTCTGGTTGTCGCTACCGCCAACATTATGTATTGCAGACAATATTATTTATACTTGCAATCCCTTGCCCACCTTCCGTGGTTGTACGGTCGTGTGGTGAGATTCGGCGATACACCCGAACATTGTGAAATGTTGCCATAAGTAGTGGCATTGCACATTCTGTACCTATACATGGCTTTAATCAGCAGATGGATATGACGGAGACAAAAATAAAAGTCCTAGTGCTTTGCTTATGTGGCTACGTTTCCCTGTCACAAGAGTCTATCGATATCCTATTGTCCGGCAATGTGTAGCTTGATGAATTTCTGCACGTTGACACACTTCAGCTCCATATGGTTGTGGATATATTGATAGGACAGGTATACTCTTAGTTTATATATAGAGCACTTGACTCGTTCTGTACCAAAAGTTAGCCTCGAAATCTTTGGCAAATCCTCAATACATTCAGGAATGGCATATGTGGTGCATATATATCTGAAGGCATTGCCACGTTTGACGGTGAAGGAAATACTACCATAACGCCCATGTCCAGCATACATGGTATAAACATATCGAGTTATTCTGATATAAAGATATCGAGTCATTTACTCGTTTGAATATAAAAAGAGACACTTGTCCTCGAAATTAGCGCAGCATGATACCAAGACTAGTACATCGTGTGAGAGATAGCCCTAGTCACTACAAAGACTTCACACAAAATATCAGCAACCGTATATTGACGCAACACGCTATCCGATGCAACACACTTGTAAACTCAACTGCATATATAAACAATAAAACCATTCCTTCAAAACAAGTAATACCATATATCCAACTTACTATCATATTATCGCACTTGACATACCCCGCGATGCACCACAATGTCTGAATCCATGGTTGTCTTCGTTAACTGCCGTTTTAGAGCTCGCGCCATGCTGGTGATTGTTTCATCTACCCCCGCCTCGTGGGCAGTGTGTTGTTCTTCATAGCCCTTGAATACAGGTAGCAGTGGTTCTGTTTCCGTGCTCATGGTGATGTGCTATTATATACTTGTGCGTACTGCACCAGTGCATCTACCTGAGGATCACTTCGTTTTTGTATTAGAATCATCAAGGTCTCATGCAATAGCTGTGAAAGTTTGTTTGACAGGGCCTGTACAAGTGCGTTGAATGATTGTGCTACAGTATATGAGCTTATGCATGGCTTTGCAGGAGGTACATAACACCAATTATGCAGTCAGCTGTGTAGAAATGAACGCAGGCGTCTCCAGGTACACGTCTTACAATAGAGGTCTCGTGTGCGTACATATGCTTTGTATATTTTTAAACCAAAAATACTCCCTGAAAAACAAGTGACTGATCAATCACTGATTACGTGTCGACTGTCGTGCCATTTCATTGGCTGGGGTTTGCATTGGATTGGGTACGAACCACGCCCCGGCAGATGAGACGGTATTTGTTTAAAAAATATATAAATTCATATCTTGATATCAAAGTAAATACTAAATAAAGATATAAATAGTAATAAATATTTATAACATAGTCTGATATGGATCTCGTCGGCATATATAGTTTTTAATATATGCCTTGTATGTATAGAAGGCACAGGTATATGACAGAGTATAGTTATGTAGTTTTAGAATAAAACTACACAACTATAAGTTATACGCTAAGTATGAGTTTACCTGATCTGCTTTCTGAACATATGGTTTGTATACAGAATCGCCAGGCTGTTCAAATATATGTGTAAACGCTACGTGTATCCTAGCTTTGTAACTTTTTATCACGCAAAAACAATCTGTGTCAGGAGCCCCCAGCTATATATCAGATGCAATCCCTTGCCATTGAACGCGAATACACACGGCATGTTCGCCACCATGGGTCGCCACTGCCCTATCCTACGCGCTTGGCGCGCCAGTGTACTTGCGTGTAGACTAGAATACCAATCAGACACATTTGGTCTACGCAGCTATAGAAGTTTATTTACATACACCCCGGTCATGAATGGGATGGTTCTGAGGTCAAGTGATCTTCACCATATCGTGCAATTTCCAGTACTTAGGAATTGAGAGTGATCAACTATTGCATGCGGTAAATGCGCTTCTGTTTTATATGATCAACCTACATGATATAATGAGTGGTAGTCAGGATAGTCACAATACGCTTTCAATCGCCATGAACTGCACATTCTTCATGCAACCTCCGAAGCTCCTTAACATACATCTGCACGAGTTTCACATATGTTGTATTTGTGGTATTTAGTGATCTACTGTCACTTCGGTTTCCTTTTAAAAATAGCTCGCACAATGCCAATCATTCATAACAATGATTTCATTTAGGTGAGGCTAGCAGTGATCGGTAACATGTATACTTCTTCTACTCATATGGTTTATGCGGACAGTATGGAACATTCACACTGCATAACAGCACCAGATCGACTCCGACAGCACCACCCACTTGTACAAAGAGTCGTATACTTTTCATGTGTATAGTTTATTGTATAGTTTAGTTCTGTGTCTGATTGGGTGATTGCCCGTGCCTTGTCAATGACAGCTGTGGACGTTAGAGCTGCAGTCATCGCTCATAGAACAGATTACGACCTGCGGAGCGCAGGTCGAGATCCGTCTCACTTGCAAACCTCAGCCCATGAGCGTTCGCATGCCGTTGGCCATAAACCAGCACCGTATATGAGGGGAAGCATAAGACTACGCGCAATTGTGTGCACACCGCCGACGTGATGACGATGTTTGACAACTCATAACGTTTGTGTGGACTATCCACGACTGTCGTCACAGAGTGGCGTAGAGAGAAGTTTTTAACAAGGCAATTAATTGCAGCCACACTGCTTGAGTCGCTCAGGATGCTGCGATTTTCCACATGTTTTATTTGGTTCGAAAGTTATGAACCCTTCTCGAGGCAAGGCTCGGTATACAGTTTATAGCCCATCGTTCTGTCGGGTCAATAATAGCGTTTACCTTAAGTATTTTTTTTTGCCTTAGTTAATTTACCTTAGTTGTTTTAACTTAGTTTTTTTACCTTAATCTTGGTGTGTGACATGTAAACGCCTGAGATCTTACGACAACGGTTTCTTAGACACTAGTACTACACTGGAACCTCAGAAGACATTCCGGATTCACTAATGCCAGACTATGATTGTCTCCGAGTGCACTCAACAGTTGCGCACAGCCTCATCGCCCAACACAGTGAAATAGCCTTCACTCAGGCACAGGCAATAGGCAAGCATCGCGCATCAGATAAGAAGATGTGTATGTGTAATCTGTATAGCTGCAAATGCATGGCTACACGAATGTGTACATGTGGGCAGCATTCTATATAGATGAGTACCATGTGCACCTGTAGGCGAGACCGATGTATCTATGACGTCCTTTGAGATGTGTAGCCACTAACGAGGGCAACCTATACATACGCAATCACCCATTCACGTAGAACAAGGCAGTCGATCCTTGTCTCATCTCCCACAACAGTCCTCTCTTTCAGGTGGACACATACCTCAAAATCTCTCCAACCCCTCCGTCAAAGGCGCGCGTGTACATCACTGCGCTGTAGGTGTGTATGACCCAAACACAAACATCGGCACATTGCATGATTCGACACAGTTAATCATCCTGATGCGGATGCCCAGCTCGTCTGGTGTATACCTGATTGATCTCCTGGAGTGATAGCCCGGCCGTCTCAGGTACTAAGATAGCTACAAACGCGGTCACGAACGCGCACACTACGGCAAAGGGCAGGAAACTGTACGCCTGTGAGAATATAAGAAGAAAAGGGTCGCTTGAGAATACAAAAATAAAATGAACGTTAAGGTATGGGATGCCAAACACTATTCTGGGCTGTAAGCAGCAACCGAATGAGGACAGAAACCAAGGGAATGGATGAACGATTCACTATGTTTAAACATCGAATGTACGTATTTGAA